ACTGGTACCGCTTCATGGCTACACAAGTTTCACAGATCCCTACTTTCACAAAATCGACACGACAATGGAAAGCAGCAAAAGTGCAAAATGCCCCCTCACAACTCCCCTCAAAATCCGGACTGCGCCTGCTAACACTTACAAAAATGGTGAATACCTTCGACTTTACTGAATGCAAAGTACCGCTGCCATCTACTTAGAATACAGATACTAATCTTTAGTTCTGATCGGGTTAAACGCTACAGCCAACAAACGGGGTGCGCTAAACCACGAACGTTTCGCATGTGACAGGGCGGTTCTTCGTCAAATGAGCTGGTTTCTCGCGACACTGCCGTGTAAACGATGCATTTAACCCCAGCCAACAACAAGTTTATTTAGCGTTGATTAAGGAGCGTTCATCGTTCTACAATTCACCAGAAATCTTGATGAAAATAAAATGAAACATGAATGTCTCAGCAGACTGAAAGGGCGCAGTTTGGCGACGAGGGGGCATTTTGCACTTTCGCTGCTTCAATACTTCCGGTTTACGAGTCTCACACTGGTGAAACCTGTAAACTCTTGTGAAGCTGGAGCAAGCGTCGGGCCACCACGACAAAACCTGTCAACTCTTGTAAGCTCGTGAAATACCTCTTTAGATGGCTCGACACGTTTATAGGAAGTAGCAAAAGTGCAAAATGTCCCCTCCCTAGCAGAACTGGCCCGACTAAAAGTTAAAGATGAGAGTATTTGGTGCTACAATAAACGAAGTGCAAGAAGAAAGAGCATTAAATAAAACAAAGCAAATAATGTTTTCAGGAAACAATCGCAAATTTGCATGGCGTTTCCTCGCCAACTGAATAAATATACATATCTCACAAAAACACACAATGTGGTTTAACCGAAAGCAAAAAGTAGTTTCACGAGGAGAATCATCGAAAATGGAAGGAACTCACCGCATTCCGTAGTGATGAAAGTTCAGCCGTAAGAGGATATGTATCGATCGGTTCAAGCCTTTCAACCTGCAATTTGAAAGATTTCGATTTTGAGAGCGACACGAACCGATTTGGCAGTACCTTTTCAAAGATATCCGCGATCTGCGTGCTGTTCATCGTGGCTGGAAGGGCCGAGGCGACGGCGAAAGCGCTGCTCGCGGCTTCTGCCCACGGGCGTCGATTGCTGCCGCCTACTTGCACCATCGGCACTCTGCAGCTCGCACCCTAAATTGCGTAATAACTCTCCGTCTCGAACTTTTCATCGCGCATCCAGAGTCTTTCGATATATTCGTG